CGCACCGGAGGATGCTCGGGATGCCGGCACCGCTCTCGTCCGCCGCCTGAGCGCCTGGCGCCCGCTCGGGACGGACCCCGACCCCCCCCCGGAGCATTTTGGGGGGGCCCATGGGATGTGATGAGCTCCTCGACGGTGCCGGCCTCAGCAGCGTGACCCCCCCCCGGCGGGATGGCTCGTTTCGGAGAGGAGGTGGCGGCCCGCTACGGGCCCGGCGGCGGCGGGAGCGGCCCCGGGGCGGCGGCGGGGGGCCGGGGCGCGGGGGGGGGTCCTCGGCAGGGCCCCCCCGGGGCGCAGAGGCTCTACAAGCAGTCCATGGCCCAGCGCGCCCGCACCATGGCCCTGTACAACCCCATCCCGGTGCGGCAGAACTGCCTCACCGTCAACCGCTCGCTCTTCCTCTTCAGTGAGGACAACGTGGTGAGGAAATACGCCAAAAAGATCACCGAATGGCCATATCCTTTCTGGGGGGACCCCCGCGCCCCCGCGCCCGACCCCCGGCCGGGGGGAGCCGGCTCCGTGTTGGGATCCTGGGACCGGCACAGGGACCCCGGCCCACAGCCCTGACCTCTGGCCCTCCCTGGGGTCACCCTGTCCTGCGCTGGGGTCCCCGGCCCCATATCGGGGTCCCCATGTCCTGCATGAGCTCCTCAGCCCCGTATTGGGATCCCCATCCTCAAATTGGGGTCACAATATGATGGCTCCGTCCCCTGACCTGCTTTGGGGTTCCCCGGAGCTGCATGAGGGTCCCCATCCCCTGACCTCCATCGAGGACCCCGTTTCCCTGCCCTGCTCTGGGGTCCCCGTTCCGGTCAGGCGTCACCTCCCCGTCCCCGTGTCGGGGTCACCGTGTCCTGCTCTGGGGTCCCCAGCCCCACGCCGTGCTCCCCGTCCCGTCCTCATTCCCATCCCACGGCTCCGTGGCCTGCTCTGGACACTCCAGACCCATTTTGGGGTCACCATGTCCTGATCGGGGTCCTCATCCAACGTCCCCGTCCCTGTGACCCCCTTTTGGGGTCCCCATTCCCTGCCTTGGGGACCCCCATTTCTCTCCCCTGCATTGGGGTCTCTGTGCCTCTGCTGCCCCCCAATCCCAGCCTTGTCCCCACATCGGGGGGTTCCAGCTCATCCTGGGGGGGGAAAGGGGGACCCCATTGCACCAGCACCTCCCCCTGCTCTATTTTTGGGGAGGATGTGTGAGCTGGCATCCCGCACCCCAAAACCCTCCCGTCCCCCCCACTTCCATCCCTCCGGGGTCCCCGCAGACTCGAGGTGTCCCCAGATCCACCCCCCGCCCCCCAGCTGGGCTGTTTGGGGGCTCAGGGCTATTTTGGGCTATTTGGGGCTATTTTGGGCTATTCTGGGGAGGTGCAACCCCCACCCTGCTGCCCTTGGGGTTCCTCCGAGCCCCTTCCCCCTTTTCCTGCCCCCTAAAACACTCGGCCGGCAGCAGCCACCCAAAAAGGCCCCCATCACCCCAAAAGGACCCCCA